AGCTAATGCAAAATTATAATTATCAATCCCCCTAAAACTATTTCGGAATTTCAGGTATGTGAAATGCTCTAAGACGGTTTCAATAATTAATTCTGGATAGGGTTTGGCTTCGTAAGTGATAGGTTTGAAATCGGAGGCTTGAGGTTTTGCTGATACACTTATCACAGCTTCTGATAATTGCCATGGTTTACATCCAGTTTCTTTTTTATATCTTTTGTATAATTTGGTACGAATCTTATCCGTCAAAACGCTTGGTAACCCACCTAATTTGGCATGCCAGTCCAGATATTCGGGAGTTATTATTTTATCGGACTTAGTCATGTTGCTTTTTATATGAATCAATTTAAATTTAATTAGGTAGTAGTTGACCTGTAAAAAAATAGTTTCTCAAGAGAAATGCAAATATAGCATAATGCGAAGTGTCTCTGGTCAGACTATGCAGTTATCTTAATTTCACACTATTCACATTTAATAAAATAAGATCTGGATGTATATCTACCTTCTATACTTTCTTCATCATTATGATCTAACTTGCATAATGGGCACGATGTCTTATCATTAATTCCATAATAATCGAAATCTTCACTACTAAATTCTCTATATAAGTTAGGATATTGATCCAATGTCTTATTGCGGAAATAGGTGCGGTCATAAGTTGAATTAGATTGACCGGAAGAAGATATATTTACCAATGTACTTACTTCAACTGAATCCAAACATTTCTCTTGCACCTCCGATGCATTAGTCTGATTGGTTTTCAAAGTTTGAGAAGTGGGTGGTACGTTTATCCTAACATCTGGTATTTTTTTTGGAACAGACCCTTGACTTTTCTCAAGTGGGACTTTAGGTCTCACTTTTTCTACATTTTTGCATCCAGAATATGAGTTAGGCTTTTTTAGCTCTGTATCAGCATAGTCAGATCCACTAAAATAATCTAGAATAATTTGGACTTGAGGTTTAGTAAACTTTGAAATGGAATCTGCGCTGTAAGATTTGATATTCTTAATTCTATCTACTCCTATCTTTTCGAATAGTTTGTAAACCTTTATGGCTCTTTGAGTTCTTTTACGTAAAGTTTCTAATGTTATTCCAGAAAGATGCTTTATTATATCCTGGAATAATTGTTTTCTTGCCGACTGGTCTGAAACATTATCTTTGGCAATAATTTCTTGAACACCTTTTTCGAACTTTTTCCCATATGAATAGCGACATGAAATCTCTTTTTGCTTCGTCTGTGTAGTATTCTTCCCTTCAATACTTACTTCTAGAAATAGATGAGCAAGCTCAACTTCTATTGTCATATCAGTTGTAAGCTCTTGATTTCCATCAATAATTTGGATATCATCTTTATCTATCAACTTCGAAGACACTTCTTGTATAAAATCTTGGGCTACTATATAATCATGAGAAACTTTTGTATCATTGGGTAGTACTTGAGTTTTTCCTGCTTCGCAATCACTCAATTTGATTGATGATTGCAAACTACTTGTATTGGTTTCAGTTTCCGCAGAATCTTCTAGCATAGAGGAATTATTCTGGTAAATTGAGGGCTCATCCTGATCTTGGCTTAAATGTGTTGATCCACGCAAAAATTTTTTCTCTCTATTGCGTTGTCTCATCATATCACTAATCTTTTTCTTACTTGTCGAATTCAGGAATTCATCAGTCTGTCTATCCTTCAATAATTTAGATCCTACATGAGTGGGTTGAGTTACATCAGAGCTATTCTCAGATTTATCCTCAATAGGCGGTGAAATGGATGATTGGGAAGTCACCTGTAATTCTGAATGAGTGGGAGATTTCATCACGGATGTCTTGTCTTGCACCGAAACATGAATAGCAATTTGCTCCTGCTTGATTTTCCCAACATCACAATTTAGTTCTGCAATGAGCTCAGCCTTTTCTTTATCGCTCTGCTCTAGTTTTACGAATCTGGCCTCATTCTCTTCCATAGCCTGCCTTAATTTAGTTTAACCTCGGCATTTTCGGCCAGAAGCTCGACGACACGTTGTTTCAATGAATCAAGTTCGGATTGCATATTCGATAATACCTTTCATATAGAACGCGATTTATTTAAAATGCATTTTATCCAAGTGGGACTTTAGGTCTCACTTTTTTTATTCACCATACGTCTCCATATCCCATGAAAAATATATTTGATACAATGTATAGCATTTTCGGCTCGAATTCTTTATTGATATAGAAAATAAATTACATGATTCGATGATACATAGACTTGTTTACAAAGTAAAATGGCGGTCTTATACTAATGCCCATCTAAAATATCTGTACTAACACAATATCCCAACATTAACTCTAATCCGATTTCATTTGTCCCAACATTGATGTTCTGGATAGAATAAAATGGTCGTCAGTTATACGTAAAGCATGCAGAGTCAGAAATAAATTAACAGTATTGACCTTAGTAAAACTCACCAAAAGTTTATGCTCTCCGCCTAATAAGGTCCTCGAAAGTTCTGAACAAAAAAATAGGTATTAGCTCTGCAATTGCACAACCACAACCGAAAAAAATATGCTACATTCACCTTAATTGCGAAGTGTCTCGCCCGGACCTCAATAATTTTTCGTCAACACTTCTTTCAAACTGCTAGCGAGAATGCGAGATAATGCTCGGAGAAATAGAACAACGTTTTTGGGTGACCGGAGTAAGAAAATCTTTACATCACAGAGCGTTACTGCGCTTTATTAATTTATTTCTGCCACACTGATTAAGTCAAATACGGTCGATCGTATGACCACTCACGGGATACAGTGTAGCACAATAAAATTTATTACAACTTTCCCTTTCCACCTCATCATATTCTTTCCAGTTTCCACCTCATTATATTATTGATATTTTTTAATACGTAACAATGGATAAAAAAATGGATAACGTTTTTGACTCTACTAGCTCTATTTTCGATAACCTAAATCTTCATGTCAAACCAATGGACTCCTCCATTAAGAACGGAATGGACACTAGACGAGGTAATTTTTAGCTGTTTATAAGAAACAGGAAAAAGAAAAAATTTTTTAAGTAATTCTCACCCTTGATTTGGGAGCGCATCGGGGAAATGGCGAGAAGGAGCAGAAGGGGACGAACAGTATACAACAAAATTCTTCTTCCGTACAAGGACAACAACAAAATTTTCAACGATCTCGAGAGACGTCCAAGACCAATAATATTGAGGGCGAATGGAGCCTTGATCACTGTAGCAACCCCATCAGACGCTCTCTGCTACTTGTACACGATCAATCTAAGCTTCCCAAAGAAGAAAGGAACAAAGAAAAATCGCGAAAATTATCTAAGACAAGTGGAGTTGATTTTTCAACACCAAGACCAAATCTGTCGATGGATATCAATGATGGAATCTAATCGCACCAAACAACCATATATAGTCAACGCTTCCTGGAAAACTGCAGACTAGAAAAATATCATCAACGTTGCATTTGGTGCATCGGCTTCAACCAACTGGAAATACAAGAGAGAAGTGTGCAGAATTCGGCGAGAGAACGACAGATACCTTCTTCCTCGGGACCAGTATGGGAATGTGATTCCGGAACTGGAGAAGTGGGAGTTCGGAAACTGCTCGGAGACGAATGCTTGGACATGTTTATGCCAGTGGAGATCAGATCTCCAAATCAAGTCTCGAACAATAACAGTATACGACAGGATAACAAAGGATCCATGCAAAAATTGCAAAGCTATTCAGAATTGGTTGACAGGTTAAAGGATGATTGTGAGTTTCGTGAATTCTATGAACCTGTAGATAAACGGTTAATTGACCAAGAGAATAGGGAATTCTTCGGTAAAGAATATGGTATCACACCTATTCACCCACTGCTTGTAGATCATTCCAGATCTGTTCTTCTGTTTTTAGATGATCGTGGTATTATGTTTATGTGGAGTGAATCGGAAAGTGAGATGTGTATCTTGGGAATCAATAAATTGGAAGGTCTTGCGAACTATCTTTACCACCCAGATAAGATATGTGTCGTTATGGAAGACACCGGTGAGCTGGTACCTAAAGTGGAACTTAAACGCCGTGAAACGGAAGAGTTTGAAAATAAAAAGTTGGAAAAGAAAAAGTTGGCGGATAAAAATAGGGAAAAAAGGTTGGCAAAGAAAAAAAGGTTGGCAGAGGCAAAGGAAAAAAGGTTGGCAGAGGAAAAAAGGTTTGCGGAAAAGCAAAAGTGATCTGGGCGTTTCACTATAAAAAGTACACGTTTTGCCATTGATCTTTCTGATTGGTGTGATCTTCGTGGTTTTAGAATCATTCTTCGAATTTACTCCGGTTGGTTATTATTATTATAACGTCCTTTATTTTTTTACATTGTCTCAGATTTTTTTTTGCTGAACATTATTGTATATAGTGAGTTTCTATATATATGAGATGTGCCTTGACATTTTTTATTTTATAGCTTTATTCA